GTTTGTTGAATCTGACGTGACATGTTCGTACGAACCCTTTGTACGAACAAAAGTAAGAGAAATTTAGGATAAAAATACGAACATGTTCTTGCATGAGGCCCAATGAGCTAAAATTTGGTAAGGAAATAGAAAAGAGTCATCCGCAACAGAAACTGTGCAAATTTTTTATTACATAACTTTTGCATGTGTGGTGGTGGGCAACATAGTCCTTCAAGGAATGCTAGTTTCAGTCTGAGTGTTTACATGGATAATGTTATAATTAATTTCACCCAAGTGGTTATAGCCTATTGCTTTTTCGATAGATAGATAGATAGATAATCCTTAAAACAAGCCAGTTTCAAGCATGCTTTGAAAGCAAGAGAACCTCTTAGTGTCTCACATTAGAAGAGAAAAAAACAACAAAATAAAAAAAAGGACTTGTGAATTAGACTTACCGAGGCTGAACTCCAGCTGTTGCACCTTTGGTGTTAAAACCATACCTGCAGGACACAGAGAGCAAAAAGACACAACCGTGTGAAGATGATACAAATCCAAATTATAAAACATTTGCTACTTATAGTGTGATTAAAAATTTTATAATTATAAACGTAAATTTGACTTTCAGAATCATGGCTGTAACTACATTTTCAGACAAGTTTTACATCACAAAGTTATAACCAAGCAATTTACAATTTTAATAGGAAGGGTAAACACTCATAATTAAAAGCTTTTTATTTTTAAAATACCTGAAACCATCATGTGATTTCCAGTTTTAGCTGCTAGTTGTTTTGTTCCCTGCCATCGAGGCCGCATGTTTATCCCTCCTGTGTGTTTGTGTGTGGAAGAGAATGGGAGTCAATCAAGGCGTGTTGCTCCGGTTTCTCCTCTCCACACCCAGAAGGCATTATTCATCAAGCCTCTGCAGTATATACACCTGAACACTACCGTCCACTATTTGGTGCTACAGTACAAGTGTTCAATTTTGGTTCTATTGATCATGTTGCTTGAACTGGTGGAACTGTATTACGCTCAAGCCTGTGTTTTTCTTTTTAGTTGTGAAAAGGCTTGTTAAGCTGCATTCTGCTGGCCACCGCCTCTCCCAGCCTGCCTCTTCCCACTCAGGATTCAATCCAGTCACATACTGCAGTCTGCTGTCTGCACACCAACTTTAATCTGAGTCCTTCTCCAGCAGCCGGTCCAACCACAGCCTGATGGCTAAACCCTCCAGTGCCACCCTTCAGCATGAACACAATGGAATCAATTCAACCCAGTTTATTATTATAAATTAATAAAGAAATGGAGGAGGAAGTTGATTCAGATCATAAAAGCATAGTCTAGGTGGAAAGTATCTTAATAATAAAAACAATTGACAAAAGACAGTGTTTTACCATTCTGGGAGTGTGACAGGCGCCCAAAGTGTTCATCTGGGTTATGCAAAAACTTTGCAAACTTTGTCAGAATGTTCAAACAATAGTTTCTGGGGAAGGATTGTCCTTGAGGGCTCATGCCAAAAATGATGAGTAGAGGACTGACTGCTTCCATCATCTGTCACCAGCACTGTCTCTCATTCATCACTCTCCCGGTCCGACACAACCACTCTAACACAGAATGGATGAAACACCTGCAGGTTGGAGGAAACACGAAGGGGTCTTAAACTAATAAATGGTGTTTTTCTCTTCCTGACGTGCTTGGACACAACTGGCCTCTCAAAGGCTCATCAGCTCGACTAATGGGCCACACTCTCTGTCCTTTTTAATGTATGAAAGCCATGCAAGTTCAGATAACAGTCTTTAAAAAAACTTTTTTTCTCCTTACAAAGAACATTAACTAATGCATTTGTTTAACTTTGCTACTTTTCCTTAATATAAGCTGAGTACTATGTTAGGTCAGTTTGTGGGGCATTTCATTACAAAGCACATTATCAGAATGGGCTAATTTGATTTGCTTAAGGTACATTATTGTGCTTTTTGTTTCTTGGGATGAATGAGGAGAAGATCACAAGGCTTTTAGAAAGGGGACTGAAAGTGGATGAAGTACCAGGGGTCACATTCAATCACTATCTGGCCCCTGTACAACCAAAGCAAGAGCTGTGTCTGCATTGTCTGCTAAAGATGAGCTCCTTGCTGCTGCAGGTAGTAGACGACGAGTCCTGATCATTCATACAAATACTGTTTGTGGTGTTCATGGATAGATTCTCACTGAGTATTCATGTAAAAGAAAAGGGTCTAGACAGGGAATCCCAGGTTTTTTGTTTTGTTTTGTTTTGTTTTGTTTTGTTTTTTGTAGATGATATGGTCCTGATTCGGCATGCATGGAGTAGCTCACAGCCAAGATGAAAGCCAGCTTCTTTAAGTCCAGGTCACGATTCTTAACTGGAAAAAGGTGGAATGGTTCCCTCTGGGTTAGAGGTGAATTTTTGCCTCGAGCAAATATCGCGTCCATGAGTGATGGCAGGATGGAACAGTAGATGGGTCGACAAACTGAGGCTTCATCCACAATGATGAGGATATGGCTCCAGTCTGATTGTTAAGAAAAAGCTTGGTGAAAAGCTTCAAAGATGCATCTCCATGCCAGCCCTTGCCTAAAAATGAGGTCCAGGATCCGAGGGGTTGAAATGTGTTTCTTCTGTTGGGCGGCAGGCCTCAGCTTTGAGAACCACTGTCAAAAAAACTCAGCTTACACATTTTTAAGTACTCCCATTGTAGGTCTTTCCTTTTGGGAGGAGACCCCAGGGCAGACCCAGAGCACATCGGTGAAATTATTTATCTTCTCTGGGCTGGGAACTCTTTGGAATCCCCCAGGATTAGCTGGAGAGTGTCACTGGATAGAGAGATGGCTGGGCTTCTTTCCTTGGCTGCCTAAGCAACTCAACCCTGGGTGAGTGGACGGATGGATGGATGGATGGATGGATGGATGGATGGATGGATGGATGGATGGATGGATGGATGGATGGATGGATTTCCTGCAGAAACTAAAAAACATGAGGTGAAAAAAAGAGGGTGGGGAATGTTAGCCTCCATTCTCACAAGAACAAGCTGAATTTTCTTTGCAATGTGGGATTACATGCAAACACATATAAACATCTAATTTTCCAACTGTACAAACATCTAAAATTCACTGCAAAGTTAAAAATAACGTTCATCCTGTTACACAAGCAGCCAGTCATGTGTGCAAATAAAGATCCTGTGTCATGATCTCTTCACATTGTTGTCATCATCCCACTCTTCTGAAGTCATATCAACTGAAGAAGTTGTCGCCACTAAGATTTGCTCAGTAAGAACATATGAAAAATTAATAAGTCAGATGTCATGTCGTGCAAAAAAAAAAAAAAAGATGAGCCCTGTACTAGCTGGGCTGAAACGAAGTCAGCTGTTAGGTCCCGCCTCTGGTGCCATGTTATCACCAGGGATTATCATTCTGACAGCCCAGTCTGTCCTCCAGTTTGGAGGACTACATCTGTGCCAAGAATCAACTCATTCTGAGTGGTAGGGGGAAGAAGGAAAAAGGCTGACGCTGCAGTAATAATTAAAGATGGATGTTACAGGTTGAGGATACTAACCATGGAAAACATGCAGCCAAACAAGTGAATGCCAACAGAGAGGAAGGAGGAGGATTGGAATTTACAACCATCTGCTTTGCAGTGAACAGCTTTTAGGACGGAGTGTGAAATATTTATTAAAGGGATTATGCAAGATATTTTGTTTAAGCTTAAAGTTGTTGTTCTTTCGATTGCTGCCTTCTGCAGGGGTCTCCACAGTGAGTAAACTCACACCAAATATGTATATATATACACTCACCGGCCACTTTATTAGGTACACCTGTCCAACTGCTCGTTAACACTTAATTTCTAATCAGCCAATCACATGGCGGCA